ATGTAAAAAATTGCTAAACTGTTTGACGCTATAGCATTGAAGCAGCGGCGACCTGATGCTTATATTGGTTATTGAAGATCTTAATGGATAAGTTGCTGCCTCTTTTTGGATTCTAGAAGAGTCAAAAGCTGCTAACTTTTGTGTAAAAATTTAGTAAACTTTTGTTGGAAATGATGTAACTGTCTAGTTCATTTGTCCTCACTTGTTACCTTTGGGTGTATTGCCCTTTGGATCCCCTTTTTGTCACTTTGTGGTTTGTTTCGGTATAAATAGGGGTGTGAGGATTCATTTTGTATCATCACAAATCAGTTTCTATAAGATGATTTTTAGACATCATATTGTGAAGTAATCCAAGTTCTTAAGTTGTTCTTCATATTTAATTTCCGTCATTAAATTTTCGCTCTTTACTTTAAGCTCTTTTATATTTTTCGCTATTTACATTCCGTCATTTACTTTACGCAATTTATATTTATGTCTTTACTTTCCGTTATTTATTTTACTTGTCATGTATTTTCCGTTATGAATAGCTAGTCTCATAGCTTGGGTATGAGACGAAAAGGTGAGATTTTAAACCGAAAGAAAGTAGCTATTGTTTACAATAACGACGTTCCATTATTTCATTCAAGTTTTCATAAAAACCAAAAACACTTCTTGATGAGTTGATCACTTTGAAAGTGTTAAAGTGTCATAGTCTTAGAGATAAGTCATTGAACGCACGTCAACTTGAATGATATGAAAGGTAGACTTGAGAAAGTTGCCGACAAGGAAACTTGTCATTTATATCTTTCAAACTAATTAATTCTTGACATGTTGGTCACTTGTTAGAGTGTTAAAGTGCGGTAGATTCAGAGATGAACTACCTAGAACATACGCCAACTTGAATGATATGGGAATCGGCTCGACAGAGTGATTTTTAACAAAGAGATTTGTTTATCCATATATTTTGAGGACACTATTTGTCACTATCCCTGGTCCGGATACCACATAGAAATATGAGTTGAAAGCTATAATATAGTGCAATAGTGAAAGTCCGAGAGGAATATCTTCAAAATAGATGGTGGAACTAAATTATGAAAAATTGCTTGCCGTAGCATCCCTACAGCATTGGTTACTTGAATTCGTGTTTGAGTCTCACCACAAGTCTTACACCCATGCTATCCTTGTTTATTTTGTTATTCGCATTTAATTACCTCAATATCAAACTGAAGTCTTCCATTTAATCATCTGAAATCATCTCTTTCATTGAACTCTTATTAGACTTTTGCTACAATCTTCGTGGACGATAAACAGGTATTCTACCACTTTATTACTTGGAAAGACGATATTGGTCCATATTGTATATTTGCTTTGTGGTTCATTTTATTTGTCTAAAGGTGTGCGAAATAACCTACCAGTTGTCAATTGTTGAAACTTGTTACTCTTTGATAAGATAGGAGAGAGATGCTTCAATATATCACTTATGGAAGAGTTACCATATAATGGAACTATTCTAGTAAATAATGAAGCCCATGGAATGATTTGCTAAGTTTTTTGAGAAAACATCCTAAGTTTTGAGAAAACTCTAAAGCTCCCCCTCTTTCTATCTCTCATATACACGATCATCTATCCTATCGTATTGTGCCAAGCAACACAAGCGTAGAAAATTACCCATCCATTTTCATGTGAAGAGCAACATGATTGTATTTAGTCATGTGGATACTCTGGAGGTAGCAGTCTGAAGATTGTTGCTCGGATTCAGAAATGATATCAACGGTTGTTGCTTGTTAAATGTAAAACATGAAACACCCATCTTGCCTCGTTTCATATGGATTTCTAAAATAATACAATTAATTTTTTCTACATGTATGACTCTCATATCACTCTACCATATCTGTTATAAATCTTGCCTTGGCCATGTCTTTGCTAAAACCACCTTTGAAATCTCTTCTTGATCTTCCTCCAACTAATCTCTCCCAATTAGTGATCTTGAGCACTTGCTCTTCGATGCTCATTTTTCCATGCTTATGAATCAATAGACTACTATATAGTCTATCAGCATAATAGTATCCATACTATTATGCTCTTCAATTGAACACATTGTTGTTGAACTTTAAGGTCATATACCTCATTTTTTTCCTATAAAGGTAGTCTATCTATACATCTTCATCATTTTGGCTATCGCAAGGTATCTAGCGAATTAGCTATTGATGGTCTCCCTTTCTTCATGTGCAACATCTAAAATTCCTTTCACAATGCCTTCACTTAAACCTTTTTTTTTTGCCTTCACTTAAGCTTTATTTACCTTTATTGAGCTTTGTAATGCTTTCTCATGTTGTCCCAAATCTGCATGTTGTTATTAGTATTAAAGATCGTAATAACAATGTTCATATCAATAGATTGGTACAAGAAATTCTTGAGCTTTAGGTCCTTCAACGTTTGATCTATCACCTTCTATTCAGTCTTTGTTGGCGTGGCTTTTACTGGCTTATTGATCCCATTCTAATTGAGATCCAAATATTTCTTAAAGTGAAGTTCTCCATCAGTCTAACCTAGTAATCGTTATGCTTGTCAAATATTTAGATAGTCGGTATAAGAAAACACTCGGGATAAACACTCGTGTTGTTTCTGATATCTCCCGTTAGCCTCTATCAGATTCTCTTGCTTAGTTTTCTCACAATCAGGACCCTTAGGTGGCGTTTGGTTCACAGATTCTGGAGGAATCTGATGGAATTGGAATGTTGAATTCCATTGACCAAATTCCATTTCCTTGTTTGGTTCATTCTTTTTCACGAAATGAATCTTCAAAATCCTACAAATTCCACAAATAAAAGAATTTAACATTCCTTAGCAACTACATGGTATTTGATGAAATGGAATCTCTATCTTCATTATACCAAATATGCATTTAACCTAATATACTCTAATCTCATAAAACTCAATATGACCATCGTCGACCACCTCTCGACCACTATTGATCTGAACCATCGACCACCACCACCGACTACCATCGATCTGAACCACGACCGACTACCACCGGTCTGAACCAAAGCCGACCACCACCATCGAGTACCACCGGTCAGAACCACCGCCGACCACCACCATCGACTACCACCGATCTTCACCACTACCGACCACCACCGATTAGAACCACCGCTGACCACCACCACCAACTACCACCGGTCAGAACCATCGCCGACCACCACCATTGACTACCACTGATCTGAACCATTGCCGACCACCACCAGTCTGAACCACCGCCGACCATCACCATCGACTACCACATATCTGAACCACTGCCGACCATCAACCATCTGAACCACCGCGGACCACCACCACCGACTACCATCGATCTGAACCACTACCACTGATCTGAACCACCGTCTATCTGAGCCACCACTGATCTGAACCACCGTCTATCTAAGTCACCACTGATCTGATTCACCGTCAATCTGAACCACCGCCGATAAACGCCATCTGAACCACCATGGACCACCACCGATCTGAACCACTGTCGACCATCGCCATCTGAACCACCACAGACCACCATTGATCTGAACCACCGCCAACTACTACCGATCTGAAGCACCGTCGATCTAAACCACCATTGACCATCACCGATATGATCCATCATCGATCTGAAGCACATCTGACCATCGTCACCAAAACCACAACGGACCACCATCGATCTATATCACTGCCAACCACCGACGACTACCATCGATCTGAGTCACCGTCGGACACCATCGATTTGAACAACCACCACTGCCACCGCCTATCTGAACCACCGTTGACGACCTCCATCTGAACCACTGCGGACCACCATCGATCTGAATCACTACGAACCACCACCATCTGAACCACAATGGACCACCACCGATCTGAACTACCGCCAACCACCGTCGATTTAGTAACGTCGTTTGGCTTATGATTATATTTGGGTTATGCATTTTATATTGTTTTACATATTAAATAATTATTTTATTAAAGTAATTTTAGTTTAAAAAAATTAAAATTTTCAAAAAAGGGCATTTTGGTCATTTACCAGTATTTTATTCCAATTCTTAAGATACATTTTGTGAACCAAACAGACAGATTCCAATTTCTTAATAGATTCTATTCCAATGTCTGCCAACCAAACAGGTGGTCAAACTTGACAACATTCCATTCCAATTCTTTTTAAGTCAAATTCCTTTAACATATTTCATTCCATCCAAAAACATTCTGTGAAATAAATGCCACCTTATGGTCTGGCCAAGCTCTAATACCAACCGTATAAATTGGTTACTCATCCTCTATGATATTTGATCAATATTGAAATTGATGACCTTTATTGAAAGAAATTTGGCTCTTATATACAATGAGCCCTACACACTAAAGGAGGAGGATAACAAATCCTAACAAATACCCTCATGGTAAGCACCTAGAGTCGACCAATTAAAGACCAAATCATCTAATAGTGAGATTGAACCCTCGAATATGTTCGAACATCTCAAAATGGTCTTCCACTATACTTTCCACGAGACTCTAAAGCTTAAAAAATCCCAATGACCTTTAGAAACCTTGAATGGTTTAGACTTTGACCTAATCTTATCCGGGATCAAGTGAGAATCTTTCACTTTCGTGGGAACACGTGAATACTATACACCTTTATATCGTATGAATATTAATACAATCTTCACAACATAATATTTTAACCGTGTAAAGTGAATGTTATGTCCTTTTAATAAACCTTCATATAATGTAAGCATTTCTCTCTAACATTTTCACCCTTTTCTTGTAAAAACACAACCCTAAGATATATATATATATATATATATATATATGTGTGTGTGTGTGTGTGTAAACCCTAATTTTAATATTGGCCTCGTGGTTGTGCAAAATGCGGCTTTAGTTCAATTAATAATGGATGGTTGGGTCGTCTCTTACACGCACACAAGTGAAGCCAACACGCAAAGGCTCTCATAACCGACCTCACTCCACTACCTTCCACCACTTAGCACTCAACCTTCCCCTACTTTTCTCACGCAACTTCCCTCATAACAACCATTCATATATACCTGTGACTTCTAATCTTCTCTTCACTCAATTCAACACCTCCATTTATGTAACTCTCTAATGGCGCTTCAAGCTTTCATCAGTTCTCCAACTGCAAAATCCATGCCCTTTTTCCGTCAAGATTCCTTCAATCATCTTCGTTATTTGGAGTCCTCATGGACTAAGGGGAAACGATCCAAACGTCCACGTACTTTTGATGATCACCCACCCACCGATGAAGAAGAGTACCTTGCTCTGTGCCTTATGTTTCTTGCTCATGGAGGTTCTCATGATTCCAGTATCCATCCACCACAGAAGATCAAACAGTACAAATGTACCGTTTGCAACAAGGGTTTTGGTTCGTATCAGGCTCTCGGCGGCCACAAAGCTAGCCACCGGAGAAACGGTGACGTGGAACCGGCGACAGTTACAACGACGACCTTAAATAGTCATGAGTGCTCCATTTGCCACAAGTGCTTTCCAACCGGACAAGCTTTGGGCGGTCATAAGAGGTGTCATTATGATGGCATTATTGCCGGAGGCCACGTCAGCACCGGCAACAACTCGTCGTTGGGGATGGGGTCCAATCATAGTCAACGCGGTTTTGACTTGAACTTACCGGAATACATGCCGGAATTTGTCGACGACGAGGTTGAAGGTCCTCACCCGGTTAAAAGATCCCGCCTTTTTGCTCCGGCGAAGCTTTCAGGTCACCGTAGACCAATAGTTTTCACGATTTAAAACACTGATTGTGGGTGTTTTGATTGTAGCAATTTTGTTGATTAGAAAATTGGTTTGAGTTGTCGATTTTTTGTATAATATTAATTTTTGTTTAATTAGAAAATAAGCAGTCTTAATTTGCTTTGGTGGGTGAATTCATCAAGAATTTAATAAAAAAAAATTGAATCATTTTTTTACATTTGAAACTTTAGTGTTTTTATTATGAAAGTTTCGGATATTTTTTACTTTCACAATGTTCAATTATGAATATTCAAATGTAAAAATATGGTCTCATGAATCTCACGAAAACATGTTGGTATCACGTGAATCCAACCCTATATACTTATATTATTATTTTTATATCCAATCCCCTATGCGAGTCGACTAATTTTAGGATAACCACCTGCTTTGCGGGTAGCCAGGAGTCATCGTATTTGAACGTCCCTGACTACAGGGAGATTTTTATTCCTCTTTAGATTTGAACCCAGGACCTCCAGATACTTTTAAGTTTTAATCATGCGAGAAATTAAACATTTTGTAAGAAAACGAGAAGTTAAACATTTTGTAAGAAGACGAGAAGTATGATATCATATATGATTACACGGCATTTGGATGTATTTAAACGTCTATGTATTGTCAATATAACATGTGTTTAAACGTCTATGTATTGTCAATATAACATGTGTTTAATTATATATGATTTTAAGCTTGTTCATCATATATGATATCACACTTTTTGCCTTCTCATAAAATGTTCAACTTCCCGTGTTGTGAACCTCCCCTCTCTCTCTCTCTCTCTCTATATATATATATATATATCTTATGGTCAACTTTTCTTTTTCTAGAAAATATGTATGACCTTATAAGTGCATGCCCACTGATGGATGCATATATATATATATATATATATATATATATTATGGTCAACTTTTCTTTTTCTAGAAAATAGGTACGACCTTATTGAGTGCATGCCCATGACCTAAGCATTTTAAAGGAATTAAGGATGGTTCAATTATTTAATGGAGGTGGCTGCAAAAGGCTTTCAATCACTTGTTATCTCTGTCTCTCTCTCTTCATATATATATATATATGAGCGATCAAATGAAAACCACCATCATTTGTAAAAACCGTACAAACCACTCTCATACGTCGATTTCATTGTTTAATCTTATGAAATTTTTTCATGAA